AGCAAATAACATGGCAAACTCCAGGGATTCACTGATGCCATGTCTCATTAACACTCCCACTTTAAGAGGAAAATAAAAATAGGTTAGATAAATACATGAGTGAGTGTGGGTGGGTGTGAGTTGGACCGGACTAGCTTGTGCTACTAGGTCTGATGTCATGCTCCTTCCTTCAATGCATGTGTCCTGACTAGGTGGGTCATTTGTCTAAGCCGGGGGGGGGGGTGACATGTACCTGCCTTGCATGGGCCAGTAGGTCTGGTGCAGTGTTGCTTCTTTCTTATCTTCCAATGTATTTGGCAGGCTGGCCAGCTGGCTTGCTTTGGCTGTCTCTCTATCTATATCTGTCTATATCTCTGTCTATATCTCTATCTGTATATCTGTCTATCTTTATCTCTATCTATCTATATCTCTGTCTCACATGTACACATAAGTACAGTTATTATGCATAGTGTTAATTACCTAGGATAATCCAAAAATTCCAGGCAAAGATAGACAGACAGACAGACAGATAGATAGATAGATAGATAGACAGACAGAAGGACAGACAGACAGACAGACAGATTGACAGAAACGTGTGTGTGTGTGTATCAGTGAAAACAAATAAAGCCAGGGTTTCCCCAGCACCCATTTATCAAATGTCACCGAGCTGATAACAGATGTCATAACACGATTCTTCAAGGAGTTTGATGTCCTATACTCCAGGCAGACAGAAAGACAGATAAGCAGAGACAGACAGGCAGACAGAGACAGATAGACAGACAGGTAGATAGACAGACAGATAGATAGACAGACAGATAGATAGACAGTGAGACAAATCATATTTGTGTGTAATAGTGATAACAAATACAGTGAGGGTTAGCTGGAGCAGTGGGCATTTATCAAATGTCACTGGGCTGTCAACAGTATAGGGATGCCTTTCATAACACCATGCTTCAAGGTATATGCCAGGGTATCTAAAACATTGCTGGCACCTATAAATACTTTGTATATATTTCTAGACAATAGTAAATAACCCAGGCAGGTGTAAATGTTTACCTGTCAATGTGATTATGACTATTTGAGCACTATTTCAGTACCTAATATTAATGTCAGAACAAAGACTGGCTATGAAATTACAAGAACTATTATAAACTGTAATTATCAGAACATAAAAAATACATAAATTAAAATAAAAATGAGAAAAAAGGTATACAGTGGACCCTCGACTAACGAGGGCATTGTATAACATTAAATCTGACTAGCGATACATTTTAACGCAAACATTTTGCCTCGACTAGTGCTAAAAAACTTGACCAATGCGATTCGTTCCGTTCCGTTCGAGACGTGTCCACTTGTGGCCTGAGCCGCCTCACTTGTTCCGTGGGTGCCAGTCAGTGTTTACAAGCCAGCCACCGCGGTCCCATCCAAACATACAATCGGAATATTTCACATTATCACAGCGTTTTTAGTGACTTCACCTGCAAAATAAGTGACCATGGGCCCCAAGAAAGCTTCTAGTGCCAACCCTACAGCAAAAAGGGTGAGAATTACTATGGATATGAAGAAAGAGATCATTGCTAAGTATGAAAGTGGAGTGCGTGTCTCCGACCTTGCCAGGTTGTATAGTAAACCCCAATCAACCATCGCTACTATTGTGGCCAAGAAAACGGCAATCAAGGAAGCTGTTCTTGCCAAAGGTGCAACTATGTTTTCGAAACTGAGATCGCAAGTGTTAGAAGATGTTGAGAGACTGTTATTGGTGTGGATAAATGAAAAACAGATAGCAGGAGATAGCATCTCTCAAGCGATCATTTGTGAAAAGGCTAGGAAGTTGCATGACGATTTGGTAAAGAAATTGCCTGCAACTAGTGGTGATGTGAGTGAATTTAAGGCCAGCAAAGGTTGGTTTGAGAGATTTAAGAATCGTAATGGCATACATAGTGTCATAAGGCATGGTGAGGCTGCCAGTTCGGACCAAAAAGCAGCTGAAAAATATGTGCAGGAATTCAAGGAGTACATAGAGGCTGAAGGATTGAAACCTGAACAAGTGTTTAATTGTGATGAAACAGGCCTGTTTTGGAAGAAAATGCCAAGCAGGACCTACATTACTCAGGAGGAAAAGGCACTCCCTGGACATAAGCCTATGAAAGACAGGCTTACTCTTCTGATGTGTGCCAATGCTAGTGGTGATTGCAAAGTGAAGCCTTTATTGGTGTATCACTCTGAAACTCCCAGAGTGTTCAAGCAAAAGAATGTCCTCAAGGCTAATTTGTGTGCTGTGGAGGGCAAACAGTAAGGCATGGGTCACTAGGGACTTTTTCTATGACTGGTTACACCATGCATTTGCCCCCAATGTGAAAAATTATCTAATTGAAAAGAAATTAGACCTGAAGTGCCTCCTGGTATTAGACAATGCCCCTGGTCATCCTACTGACGTGGCAGAGCGACTTTCTGGGGGACATGAGCTTCATTAAGGTCAAGTTTTTGCCTCCTAATACCACTCCTCTCCTGCAGCCCATGGACCAGCAGGTCATTGCAAACTTCAAAAAACTCTACACAAAAGCTATATTTGAAAGGTGCTTTGTAGTGACCTCAGAAAGTCAATTGACTCTAAGAGAGTTTTGGAGAGATCACTTTAGCATCCTCAATTGTGTAAATATTATAGGTAAGGCTTGGGAGGAAGTGACTAAGAGGACCTTGAATTCTGCTTGGAAGAAACTGTGGCCAGAATGTGTAGACAATAGGGATTTTGAAGGGTTTGAGGCTAACCTGAGAAGCGCATGCCACTTGAGGAATCCATTGTGGCATTGGGGAAGTCCTTGGGGTTGGAGGTTAGTGGGGAGTATGTGGAAGAGTTGGTGGAGGAGGACAATGAAGAACTAACCACTGATGAGCTGCTAGATCATCTTCAACAGCAAGAGGCCAGACCTGAGGAAACTGCTTCGGAGGAGGGGAGAGAGAAATTGAAGAAGTTGCCTACTTCAAAGATTAAGGAAATGTGTGCAGTGTGGCTTAAAGTGCAATCCTTTTTTGATGAAAATCACCCTGACACAGCTACTGCAAGCCGTGTTGGCAACCTGTACACTGACAATGTTGTGAACCACTTTAGGAATGCCATAAAGGAACGAGAGGTACAGGCCTCTATTGATAGATATGTTGTGCGATTGAAGTCCAGTGACTCTCAAGCTGGTCCTAGTGGCATTAAAAGAAGAAGGGAAGTAACCCCGGAAAAGGACTTGCTACCTCAAGTCCTAATGGAAGGGGATTCCCCTTCTAAACACTAAGACCATCCATACTCTCCCCTCCTCCCATCCCATCAATCATCACCAGATCTTCAATAAAGGTAAGTGTCATGTCATTGTGAATGTCTTCATCAGTCTGTGTGTATTAAAATTAATATTTCATGTGGTAAATTTTTTTTTTTCATACTTTGGGGTGTCTTGCACGGATTAATTTGATTTCCATTATTTCTTATGGGGAAGATTAACTTGACTAACGATAATTTTGACTTGTGATGAGCTCTCAGGAACGGGTTAATAGTGTTAGTCGAGGGTCCACTGTATTGGCAATGCTTCTGCAAGTGGCAGGAGTTGATGTTGCCGAAAGGTGAGCATCCAGTGCCAACTTCACGTTCTTATATCTCGGTAAGTACTGACCCTAATTTTTTTTTATTCTATAGCATGTAGAAAAATGTGCTCTTCATTTTAAAAGAAAAAAACTATTTTTTTATTTTTCAAAATATTCGGAGCGCCACGCGAGTGAACGTAGACCTATGTTTTATAGTTTAAGGGTTAAGATTGATTAGGCAATAGCTATATTAGGAATTTTATGTTTACATTCATTTGGGTGAGTTTTACTGTAAATTAGGGAGAATTACAGGTAATGAGAGTAAGTCTATTTTGTTTTGGATGTGTTCATGATGCAAAAAAGAGAATAGGTGGTTTTCACATAGCTGATGATGGGGTGTGTTAGGGAGATTAGATATTTTTTAATGGTAGTTTTGAAAATGGTGGTTGAGTCTGCAGTTCTAGAGTTTTCAGGCAGGGAGTTCCACATTTTGCATCCTTTTATGTACATCAGATTTTTGTAGAGATTTAGCCAGACATGAGGAATGTCATAGAGATTTTTATGTCTGGTATTGTGTCTATGGGTCCTGTTGCAAATATCAAAAAAGTGTTTTAGTTCAAGGTTAATATTAGAATGTATGGTTCTGTAAATGTAGGTTGGACAGTAGTAGGTGTGAATGTTTTGTGCACTGAGTGAGTTTAGGTCTTTGAAGAGTTGGGGACAGGGGGGGGGGGGGGCTTGTGTTGTCAAGCATTGGATTTTCTGATAATTTTTACTGCAGCTTTCTGTTGGGTTATTATTGGCTTTAGGTGGGTTGCTGCTGTTGATCCCCAAGCACAGATAACATAGATGAGGTAGGGATAGATGAGTGAATAGTACACTGAGTAGGGCTGATTGTGGCAGATAGTAACGTATCTTGGAGAGGATCCCAACTGTTTTGGATACTTTTTTTATTTGACAAGATTATATAATATGCCAAAAGCTAATATTAAAATACTAAAGGCATAAAGTACACCTTATACTTGCATTCTTGGACCTCATGCTATTAATGAAAGGAGGTTGTGATTACAGAAGTTTTAATAACATGAGGTTAGGTGAAGTGAATATGTTCCCTTCCTTGGGTCACCCTTCCTTGGTGGGAAATAACTGATGTGGTAAAAAAAAAATGTATTGTATGATACATTCACAGGTCCATATAGTGTTCTATAACCACAATTTCCAGTTAGCTGGGTTAGTCAACAAATAACATGAGAAGCAGATATATGGCAGACTCTGTAACACTACTGTTGCCACTAATAGTTATTTTTGTCATGTATACTGTAGTGTTTTTTCTTTGTTGGTATATTTTGTAAATATTTGTTCATCTTGTTTGCATATTTTTTTATCTTGTTACTATGTGAACTGTGTTTGTTCAATGATAATTTATTTGCCAATAATGCCCTTGAAACTTACAGATCATTGCAAGCTGTTCTTTATACAATAAATGATCACAAATATCAAGAGAAATGTAGAACAGCTTTTTACAAACTTGGTTCAGGAATTCATCCAACTACCAATGAAATAGTTTCTCTTTTACCATTATTCCAAGACGATCCATTCCACATCAGTAGGATCTCATCAACCCATGTGGTAAGATATTTTGATTTTTTCTAGGGGTGTGCCAAACTATTGTTATTGGTGGGTATCGGGCAATTTTGAGGGTATTCGTACCAGCCTAAAACTGAGTATCTGTTTCGTTATTGGTGGGTATCTGTATCATTATTGGTGGGTATCTGCCAATTTCAGTGGTATTGGCTAATTTTAACTGTACCAGTATTGACCTAAAACTGAGTATCGGTACAGGTCCTCCATTACAAATCCGACATCATTGGGACCTGTACTGTGCCGGATTACTGAGTTTTTCGGATTACAGAGTGGTTAGGTTAGAATACACTTAATAAAATTAACGAACTTGGCTTACACAAAGTTCATTGAACATCGGCAAAAATCGAACATTTCCGCTACTTTGAGCTCAATTTCAAGGTACTTTTCATCATGAAAGCAATCAAAATCATGTCTATTTCAGTAATATATCTTCCTTTCTATCAAATGAGTCCAAAAAAATGAGAATACAACCATAAAAACCATACGAAAATATACTGCAAAGAGGCGGATAATGGCTGAGAAGTGAACTCCCTTATTTATCGTCTGTCTTTTTTATTTTTGTTGTATGTTAAGAAGCATCTTTCCATCGTACATTGCCCAGGTAGTAGGTTGGTAGACAGCAACCACCCAGGGAAGTACAGTGGACCCCCGCATAACGATGGCATCGCATAGCGATTTTTCCGCATAACGATTACTTTTATCGCAAAATTTTTGCCCCGCATACCGATTAAAAACCCGCATACCGATTTTCGTCCGAGACGCGTCCAATGTGCCCTCACATGTGCCGGCCGTCCCATTGTTTACCAGCCAGCCTCCGCGGTAACATCCAAGCATACACTCGGAATATTTCGTATTATTACAGTGTTTTCGGTGGTGTTTCTGGAAAATAAGTGACCATGGGCCCCAAGAAAGCTTCTAGTGCCAACCCTGTGGTAAAAAGGGTGAGAATTAGTATGGAAATTAAGAAAGATTTTGAAGGGTTTGGGGCTAACCCTGAGAAGCCTATGCCAGTTGTGGAATCCATTGTGCCTACTTCAAAGATTAAGGAAATGTGTGCAGAGTGGTTTGAACTGCAAACCTTTATAGATGAAAATCACCCTGACACAGCTGTTGCAAGCCGTGCTTGTGACTATTTCAATGACAATGTTATGGCCCATTTTAGGAAAGTCTTGAAGAAACGGGAGGTACAGAGCTCTATGGACAGATTTGTTGTGCGACAGAGGTCCAGTGACTCTGAAGCTGGTCCTAGTGGCATTAAAAGAAGAAGGGAAGTAACCCCAGAAAAGGACTTGCTACCTCAAGTCCTAATGGAAGGGGATTCCCCTTCTAAACAGTAAGAAGATAATGCTCTCCCCCCTCCCCATCCCATCAATCATCACCAGATCTTCAATAAAAGTAAGTGTCATGTAATTGTGCATGCCTTTTTCAGTTTGTGTGTATTAAAATTAACATTTCATGTGGTAAAAAAAATTTTTTTTCATACTTTTGGGCGTCTTGCACGGATTAATTTTATTTCCATTATTTCTTATGGGGAAAATTAATTCGCATAACGATTATTTCGCATAACGATGAGCCCTCTTGCACGGATTAAAATCGTTAACCGGGGGTCCACTGTACTACCGTCCTGCCAGATGACTGTGAAACAGAAACCTGTAACTGTTTTACATGATGTTAGGATTGCTGATGTCTTTTTCTGTCTCATAAACACCTCGTGACATACCACCATATAGAAAACCGCTTGGTATGCAGAGTATTTCAAGAAAATTAGGTCAGTGTCCCAGGATAACACCCACACCAGTCAGCTAACACCCAAGTACCCATTTACTGATGGGCAAACATAGATAACAGATGTAAAGAAACATGCCTAATGTTTCTACCCTGGCTGGGAATCGAATATTTACCAAAAATCATATATGGCTAACCCAAGCCAGGTACTAGAAATAAGCCACGTTGACTTTTTTGGGTTATCCTAGGTTCTCTACGCATATGCTGCTATATGTGATAATCTATATAGAGAAAATAACATTTTTGTTTCAGGTTTATGATGCAGTACAAGTGTATATCACAGTTATCCCTGTGCTATATTCTGTTTTCTCTAATATAAGCCCCCAAGACAGGGATAGGAGAATTGTATTTTTATACCATTTCCTCTTCATACCTCTGTCGAACTGCTCGGTATTATGCCAAATATTATTCATTCTGGAGTATTTAACATGTTTTATGTTATTTATATTGTTTATTATGTCAAATTAGATCAATTGTGATAGGCAAATAAGCTGTAGTGTTGATATTAGTGTAATAATGAAGCATATTCTCCTGCATCATGAGACTGAGCTCATGGCAACTGACAGTGGCTTCAAAGCCACCTTATCTTTAATGGATAATGTACTGTGTAGGTGCTTTACATAATGAGAAGCATTTCTTTTATTCATTGGAACCATGGCTAGGGCTAAAAGTAAGCAGGTTAAAACAATAAATGGAGAAAAAGAAATTGTTATGACTTATGCAGCAAGTAGCACCACCAAACAGTACCAGCAGGTTGGTGTGGCGACCCTGGAAATTTGAAATTATGCTAGCTGAAATTAGTGCCGAATAACTGAAGGAACCGAATAACTGATTGCCGGATTTGTGATGGCGGACCTGTATCGGCAAAAAATTTGGTATTGTCCCATCACTAGATTTTTTCTACAGGATTTATGCTTTACATGAAGTATAATAATTGGTTCATTATTTCCTGTGTTTTTCAATTATGAGTAAAGTAGGGCTCACTTATTCGGCAGGTTAGGTTCCAGGCTACTGCTGGAAAGTAGACTTCACCGGAAAGCAGAACTCCATTTTTTGCATTTATAAATGCATATAAATTCCAGATAACAAGTTTACACTAACATATATTAAGTTAGCAATAGAACTAGGCATTAAAAAGTAAAATACACACAGTACACTCATTATTTACCTCAAAATATTTGTAGTCTTAATGTAGGGTAAAAGGTGAGTAGTATTTACTCTAAGAAGTCAGCCACCCCACCCACACATACTATACAATAATGCTTAAAGCTCCCCAGAGTGATAAAATGCATATTCAGTAGACGTATTACTTACCTTAAAATATTTGTAGTCTCAGTGGTCTTAATGTAGGGTGAGAGGTGAAAAGTATTTATTAGTAGAAAGTCGTTTGGGAGGTATAGCATCCTGCCTGGCCACTTATACCTACAGTACTATGACATTAAGCTCCCTAGAGTGATAAAATGCATATACAGTGGACCCCTGGTTCACGTCATTAATCCGTTCCTGAGAGCTCATCGTAAGGCAAAATTATCGGAAAGTGAATCAGTTTTCCTAATAAAAAAAAAGCTTTTACCACATGAAATATTAAGTTTAATGCAATAGAATAATTACAATAGCAATAATAAAAATAGAATAAACACAATAGAATAATTGACACTTACCTTTAATGAAGATCTGGTGATGATTGATGGGATGGGAGGAGGGGAGAGTGTCGAAGTTTTTAATGTTTAGAAGGGGAATCCCCCTCCATTAGGACTTGAGGTAGCAAGTCCTTTTCTGGGGTTACTTCCCTTCTTCTTTTAATGCCACTAGGACCAGCTTGAGAGTCACTGGACTTCTGTCGCCTAATCACACTATGTATGCCACTACGATTCTTAAATCTTTCAAACCAACCTTTGCTGGCCTTAAATTCACTCACATCACCACTAGTTGCAGGCATTTTTCTAATTAAATCCTTATGCAACTGCCTAGCCTTTTCACAAATGATCGCTTGAGAGATGCTATCTCCAGCTATCTGTTTTTCATTTATCCGCACCAGTAACAGTCTCTCAACATTTTCTAACACTTGCGATCGCTGTTTTGTAATCACAGTTGCACCTTTTGCAAGAACAGCTTCCTTGATTGCCATTTTCCTGCTCACTATAGTAGAGATGGTTGATTGGGATTTACTATACAACTTGGCCAGGTCCGACACAAGCACTCCACTTTCATACTTTGCAATTATCTCTTTCTTCATTTCAATAGTCATTAGCACCCTTGGTCTCGAAGGGTTGGCACTAGAAGCTTTCTTGGGGCCCATGGTAACTTATTTTGCAGAAACAAGCACCAGAAACAAGTGATAATATGGATAATATGGAATGTACCGAATGTATCCATAGATGCGCGCACACTGGCTGGTTTGTAAACACTGGCACACATGGGGCAGTTCAGGCCACATGTGGACACGTCTCGTACAAATCGTATCACGTACCAGGTTTTGTTACGGGAACCGGGACAATTTTTTGACGATATAACGTTTCGGATACCGGATTTATCGGTTACTGGTGACTTCGCGAACCGGGGGTCCACTGTATAGTACACTCATTAATTACCTTAAAATATTTGTAGTCTTAATGTACAGTGAGAGGTGAGTTTTATTTGTATGAAGTTGGGAAGTATGGGTAGCCAGGAAGGGCAGCCCTTCCCACCCCACCCACATAATGTAAGTGCCAACCCTGTGGTAAAAAGGGTGAAAAATACTATCATACCACAGTCAGCTGCTACTGGACCATGGTCAGCTGTTGCTGGACCACTCAGCTGTTGCTGGATCAGTCAGCTGTTGCTGCACCCCAGTCAGCTGTTTCTGGACCAGTCAGCTGTTGCTGGATCAGTCAGCTATTGCTGCACCACGGTCAGCTGTTGCTGGACCAGTCAGCTGTTGCTGGATCAGTCAGCTGTTGCTGTACCACGGTCAGCTGTTGCTGGATCAGTCAGCTGTTGCTGCACCACAGTCAGCTGTTGCTGCACCACCATCAGCTGTATTACTCGAAGATGTGGAGAGTGTGTTGGTGTGGCTTAACGTGAAACAGTTGCCGAGAAACAATTAACCCCAGAGGGTTAGCCACCCAGGATAACCCAAGAAAGTCAGTGCATCATCGAGGACTGTCTAACTTATTTCCATTGGGGTGCTTAATCTTGTCCCCCAGGATGCGACCCACAAC